AAGGGCCAGAGGCTTAGTCTGCTGAGCTTTCAGATTCATGCTCAAGGAATGTCTCTCTACCGTAATAAGTGTCACACACATTCCAGTGGAGAGATGTTCCCTGAGGATGGGCTTCAGCATGAGTCTGAAAGCTCAGAAGACTAAATCTCTGGTCTCAGTGACTGAGACAGATTGGATTTAGAGAAACCTCTTCAGTTTTTTCCCTTCAGACCTAAATATTCTGCGTTCCCCCAGTTTAATAAATAAATAAACCTAATATATCCTGTTCTATTTCCCTGTGGCATTATGAATGGAAGGCAGGGATTTTTTTTGCTTCATTTTGCAGTATAATTAGATTAGATTAACAGAGTTGGAAGGGATCTTGTATGTCATCTAGTCCAACCCACCCACCCCCTTCCAAGCAGGAGACCCTAGCTATTTCTGACAAATGGCAGTCCAATCTCCCCTTGAAATCCTCCAATGATGAAGCTCCCAGAACCTCCAAAGGCAAACTGTTCCATTGGTTGATTGTTCTCACTGTCAGAAAATTTCTCCTTATTTCTAGGTTGAATCTCTCCTTGGTCAGTTTCCATCCATTATTCCTTGTCTGGCCTTCAGGTCTGACCTTGGAAAATAGCTTGACCCCTTCCTCTCTGTGACAGCCCCTCAAATATTGGAACACTGTTATCATGTCTCCCCTAGTCCTTCTTTTCATTAAACTAGACATGCCCAGTTTCTTTAACCGTTCTTCATATGTTTTAGTCTCCAGTCCCCTAATCATCCTGGTTACTCTTCCCTGTATAGCTCTGCAGTGTTTCAGGTTTATTGTCTAAAATGATCTTTGCAGTATATGGACTGTCTACATCTCTTTAAAGTAACTGAGTCTTTTCCTGGGACTGTTCAGATACTTCAAGGGCAGCCACTCCTTCTGGAAAATAATCGGGCAACCCTTAGAATCTAACAGGTGGATGCTATATTTCATAGTAACCATGTGGCTCCTACTGGAAACCAAATCCAAAGTTCTGCACAACCATTAAGGAAACAGACACCCAAAGAGAAGAAAATATTGATAGTGACATCTCCAAGAAAGGATAATTAGAACTGCAGAAAAAACAATTGCTACCAACCTGCCTTCCATTGAGGACCTGTATAATGCACGAGTCAAAAAGAGGGCTGTGGAATTATTTACAGACCCCTCACATCCTGGACATAAACTGTTTCAACTCCTACCCTCAAAATGATGCTGCACACCAGAACAACTAGATACAAGGACAGTTTTTTTCCCGAACGCCATCACTCTGCTAAACAAATAATCCCCTCAACACTGTCAAACTATTTACTAAGTCTGCACTACTATTAATCTTCTCATCGTCCCCATCACCCATCTCCTTCCATTTATGACTGTATGACTGTAACTTTGTTGCTGGTATCCTTACGATTTATATTGACTGTTTCCTAATATGATTTGATTGCTTATTTGTACCCTATGACTATCATTAAGTGTTGTACTTTATGATTCTTGATGAACGTATCTTTTCTTTTATGTACACTGAGAGCATATGCACCAAGACAAATTCCTTGGGTATCCAATCATACTAAGCCAATAAAAAATTCTATGTTATTCTATTCAATATCTATATTTGTTAGCCAGAAGCCATGTTTTTATTGTAACGAAAGCATTTGTCCAGGGGAAGAGGCCAGAAGTACGCTACACATATTAATGTGCTGTTAGCAAAATGGTGCTTGTTTTCCTTTAGCTGTTATGGAACTTTATAATTACTCATACCCTGTAATTATTCACTCTTTATGAAGGCTTCCTTTTACCTCTGGGTATTGGCAGGATTTAACTTTTAGATGGAGAAGATAGCTTCCAAGAAACAGCAATGAATGGAGAATTTAAATGCAATCAGAAACACTGCTACATTTGCATATGCATAATTGTGTAGAATGATGCAGAGATCTTGGTTCATAGCAGAAGACACTACATCTGCAGGACTCTCTATTGTGGCTTACCTTTCCTTAAAGCCACAATGCACATAAATTCCTTATATTTTTGAAAAAAATATTAAATTTAATTTTCAATATCTGTATACTTCCTTCAAATGAGAGGATCTTTTGACCAGATACCTAGAATAAGAAGCTACCAGTAACATCTGACCAGCACTTCAGCACAGTGGTGGAATTCAATTTTTTTTACTACCGGTTCTGTGGGTGTGGCTTGGTGGGCATGGCAGGGGAAGGATACTGCAAAATCTCCATTCCCATCCCACTCTGGGGCAAGCCAGAGGTAGAATTTGCTGGTTCTCTGAATTACTCAAAATTTCTGCTACCAGAATCTGTCAGAACCTGCTGAAGCGCCCCTGCTTCAGCATAACTATAAAATGGCATAGTCCTGTATTGTGGAAAGTCCATGTCTACATTGTTTATTTTCAATGTTATGAAGAAATAGGTTTATATGGTTCAGGAATATTCATCTTCCTAACTGGAAGTCACATAATAGGCCCTATAAAATAATAATTAAAAAAAATACAACAGTTAGTTGAAGAATATTAGGATTAATTTATTTGACTTTTAAGCCAACTTTTAAGAACCCTCAAGGGAATATCTAAGATAAAATCACAAACAGCAAAAGCTTTAATAATAAACACAGCAATAACATTAAATAAAATCTGATTCACTAAAATGTCCAAAATCCCCATATATTTACTGGCAAAAATCACTATCAGTTCCAGAAAACTGCTCATGAAAATAAATTATTTTTAAAGGTTTTTTCAACAAACTGCAATGCAAGGCATTTGATTTCTGCTTGCTCATCCAAGGATTGGTTTTGTTAATGTGAAAGTATTGAAGAGTTGATCAAATATTTTCATAATGACCTAAAGTACACTAGTAAACAACAATTAGGAACATTTCCTAAACAAGTGAGCTTTTGAATTGCCTATAAATATTCTTAAAATAGAGAATGACCAGTCTGTCTGTAGAAGACAGACTTAAGCATACCTGACCTCTGACACATTTTTATAAAAGATAATGAAATGCCACTGTGTATTTGGTGACTGAATAAACAAGTATCTCTCACTTTGATATATTTGAAGCTGTAATTGAAAGATTATGAAAGGACATTTCAGTGCTCTGAATCCTATCCATCATACTTTCCCTCTCTTATTTCTTTCAACCATGTCAAGCATAGTCATTTGTATATAATCCATAATTGTTTTATATTACATGTTCAAATATATGAATTTCTGCTTGCTGGCGATCAACTCAAGGCAGCAATGTTTTTATTTAACCCAGGACCCATTAGTAGTTCTTACCACCAAGGAACTCTGGATAACCATCTTCTCCACTTGAATATTGTATAGCAATTAAGTAACATCACAGAGATTTTGCAAATTGTATAGAAGATTTTTTTTAAAAAAATCAGCTTTAATTCCCATGCAGTGGAATTTATGATGCAATTCTGTTGATTTATGGAAAGCTGTTCTGTATATTCCTAAAACAGGGTGTTTAGTTGAGAGGGTAAGGGTACAGGAACCTCCCAAAAGTCATTAAAAGTCAGTCTTATGATAAAAGAACAGAAATGTTTCCTTGATTTCATGACAACCATTGAATGCAACTTATATTTTTTTAAATTAAATCTTAATTGATGTAAGATAATGTCACAATATTCTGATATTCAATATATCAGCCAAAGACAATCCTCAATTTATGACCGCAATTGAAGCCAAAATTTCTGTTAATGAGACATTTGTTAGGCGAGTTTTGCCCCATTTTATGATCTTTCTTGCCACAATTGTTAAAGTGAATCATTGCAGTGATAAGTTAGTAACACAGATGTTAAGTGAATCTGGTTTTCCCATTGAATTTGCTTGTCAGAAGGTTGCAAAAAAGTGATCACTTTTGATCCCGGGGCACAGCAAAGGTCATAAATATGAGCCAGTTGCCAAGCATCTGAATTTTGATCACATGATCACGTGATCATGGGGATGCTGCAAAGGTCATAACTGAAAAACAGTTGCAAATCACATTTTTTACTGCCGTTGTAACTTTGAACAGTCACTAAATGCACTGTCGTAAATTGAGGACTACCTGTAGTACATCTTGAGAAAAGTTAGAAGTGCATCTGGTGAACCTCAGCTCCTTATATCCTGCTAGACTTCCCTCACCATTCCACTATCCCACCAGTCAAGGGAATATTTTGAAGGAAGAAATTTTGATTCGGTGCTAGTTGAAGAGTGATAAGCAGAAATCATCTTCTCCTCCCACCACTAAAAATCTTCCTTGCAAAGTAAAGTTGTTTATGAGTTTTTTTAAAAAAATAATTAATTAAAATATAATGTACCCAATTCATGCACCAACCTCATCATGAGCTAACGGTGGAAAAACCTTCAGCAGATTTTTTTTTCTTCCCCACCATTTCTTAATTTTTAATTTTTCTTTCTTTTTCTTTTTAATTTGATTTATATGCCGCCCTTCTCCAGAGACTCAGGGCGGCTTACAATGCGATAAGCAATAGCCTTCATACTTTTGTATATTTATACAAAGTCAGCTTATTGCCCCCACAAACTGAGTCCTCAATTTACCTACCTTTCTTTCATCTTTTTAAATTTTTCTCCAGCTCAGGTATTTCCAAATCACCTTCCTGTGCCCCACTTACAATTTTTTTTTAAAAAAAACTGCTGATTATTTTTTTTTTTAGACCCTGCTAATATGCTGAAGCAACTTATACCTGTCCCCTCTCCAAACACAGGACTGTCACAGTGTCCTACACAACTTCCATCTGGCTGCAGAACACTAGAGGTGTGTGTGTGTGTGTGTGTGTGTGAGAGAGAGAGGGGAAGGCCTGTCCTGGTCCCGTCTCACTTACCACTTTCCACAGAGGGGGCTTCTAGCCAGACCTAAAGGTGTAGCTGCTACTTGCTCTTCTCTGAAAGGAGGGCGTGGCGGGAGGAGCAGCGAGAGGGGAGGAGGCGCTGATTGGCCAGAGGGTGGGAGGTAGGGAATTTCCCACAATGCCCCGCTGCAGCCAGTGCAGCCGCCGATGGATGCTGCGGGAAGGTGCTGCCATTTGCAGCCGCTTGGACCAGCGGCTCGACGAAGGGGCTCCATTCTGGCTGCGACGGAAGCAGCTTGCCCGCCGCCCTGCCTCTGTCCCCGGCTCAAGCCGATCTCCTGAGCTGGTAGTTCCCGTCGCTTTTTCCTCTCCGCCGGCTGCTGCTGCTGTCCTTTCAGCACCGCGATGAACCCAGCTTCAGCAGCCGGGGAGGAGAAAGGGGCTGCAGGAGGCAGCGGTCCCGGCGGCAGCACGTGCCGTGGGGCCGAAGGCGGAGGGGACCCTCGCAGTGCTACCTCCCCGGCGGCCGACCCAGAGGAGCCTGGACTAACCGGTCAGAAGGAGGACTCTCTGGAAGAGAAGCTGAAGAGTTTAACCTTCAGGAAACAGGTGTCTTACAGGTGGGTGAAGAAAGCGAAAAAGGGGGAGCGTTGGTTTTCTGGGTGGGCTTTGGCTCACCTGGGGAAGTGGGGGTGCCTGCTTTTTTTTTTCCTGCCCCATAATCAGCATGGGGCAGAAGTTCTTTGGGGAGATCGCTCACCTGTACCTCCCGGGTGACGTGGCTTTGCCTATTCCCCACCGTCTCTTTTACTGAAGTGCAATAAGAAGCATCTTCTCTCACCCCCACTCCTACTGCTGTTTCAATTGGGATGGGGTGATGTCCTCACCACCACCACCTTTACTTCCAGCCTGCCTGCGATGGGAAAAACCAGCGAAGGAGATAACTCTCACTTTGGATTCAAACTAAGAACGTGTTTTTTGGGGGGGGGGGAATGAGAAGAAAAAGGAATTCAAATAATGCATTCCCCTTCTTTGACAGCCAGGACTTCTGTTTTTTGAGAATATGAATAATTAACTTAGACGATTATCCGGGTTGCTTTTCGTGGGGCGGGGAGGGTGTTTTAAAGAAATCTGACCATTTCACCTTCCCCTTTTAGTCAACAACCACATCAAGGTGTGTTTGCCCTGAGAGATACCCTACAACTAAAACCAGTTTATTAAGAACAGAACGTGATGTGTAATGTATGTTTCTGTGTATATAGGCATTATGCTTCCAATCAGGAAAACAGCTGTTACCCCAGATCTTGTATTTCCCTTTTGTTTCATATGAAAGTGAGACGATTGATAATAACGCTATTTAAAGTAGCGTTTGCAAAGGAGTTGGCATTCCTTTACACAGACCTATCCTTGGTGGAGAGCGTTAGGCATTTGATTCTGATAATGTGCGATGCCATCACGATTCTTGATAGAAGAGTGCAAGCACATACGTTTGTGAGAGACTGATCCATCATGGGAAACACGTAATATACTCGGTAGCTCCGAAGGAGTTAACGTTGCACAGAAAGGTAATTTTGTATGCCTTGAAAATGCAATGTGACCTATAGGCTTTGGGAGTTACACTGTCAGAATAAAATTGCAACCCACGTCAGAGATGAGGCTGAGGATAGCATCTCCTTTACCAATTCAACTTGCGTGCAAAAAAATAAACCCTGATCTTGTTTATGATCCTTCTTCAAACAAGCAAAGCTTCAGGGGAAAATTGTCTATATATATAGACTTTAGGATTAGTCGGGGGGGGGGGGGAGTTCAGCTTGCCCAGGAAATCTTGTTATTTTGAAGCCCTGATGCTTGAACTAAAAAGAAGAAAATAAACTGAAACAAATATTGCTTTATTGGCATGGGGAGCTGGTGCAGTATTTCCCTGGAAAAACACTTATTTTGGGTAGCGCTGATGACTATTGAAGGCTTCAGGAGTCTTCCAAAGAACAAGCGTTCATGTTCATTTTCAGCATCCCGGTGAATCATTATGTAAGTTTCAGTGTAAATTCAATTGATAGCTACATTGCGTTATCTACATCTAATGTTTAGCAACTGAAGAGGCAGCTGAATCAGAGGTCAGCTCAATTCAATTACCTGGTAAAATGCATGACTGTGTGCATTTTTAAATTGTTTGCTCGTGTTCTCTAGTAAGCTACTAGATTCCAACTTCTGTCTGCAAATGATTAAAAATTAGATCTGTGTCGATTGCAAGGCCAGCTTGGAGAGTCAAATAAGCAGCTTCTGAAAGCTATGGTTGAAACTCACCTCTCTGGTTCTCTGTAGCCAGGTTCTTCCAGACAGACAGACAGGCAGGCAGGCAGGCAGGCAGGCATCCTGAAATTGCCTTGATTTCAAAAGGAGATTTTAGAGAAGTCTTGTTACTGTTACCTTGTGTTTGTGAGTTTCATGTGGGTTTTTTAAAAAAACAACTTTGCTATCCTCCCCCACCCCACCCCTGACCCCCCCCAAAAAAGATTTGAGCAGAGAAAAAGAAAATAATTCAACAATCTTTTTGGATTGTGTGCTGGAAACTCCCTCTCTCTTGTCCAGAAAATGTTCCTTTATGGATATATATCCACTTGTTCATGGGGAAATAATAACTATAATTCTTGATAGCTCCTGTTCATCCATACAACTGAAAAACTAAATGGAATGCATAGGGATACAAGGTAAACAGGCTCAAAATAGCTTCAAGTTAGAGAATTAATTCACAGGAGCACAAAAATTGTATGAAAGCGATATGAGTGAAATTAAGACAAAAGAAGCAACAGCAAATCAACTCAAACCACCATCATTCTAACTTTTTATCTGGACATCAGAGCTTTATTAATGTAAAGAAGGAAAACAGGGAGCAAAACAAACACTCTTATTGAAATCAATGAAATGATATCCTTCACATAAACAATCTCCTATTTTGGTATTTTGCATACCTGTTGGCTTATGATACACACAACTCCTATCTGTTTTTATTTTATTTCACTTTATTCTTTCCAATCCTTGCAAATTCTGCTTAGTTGCAAAGATTATTTGCTCAATGGATTACAAATGGGACACTTGCATAGGAAACAATAGCAACAGTTAGCTGTTTGGGTACAATAGTTTCTCACTGCTGGAAAATGCTGAAACCTAGAGAAAGTATTTTGAAGTTTGGATGGTTGTCATTCCAATCAGATTTTGTTCTGTGTCCAGAGGTGTAAAAAACAAATTTCTAAAGCAGCTTGGAAAGTCTCACAGAGCTTTTGGAACTATAGCATCCCCAGCAACGTGGCTCCATGTACATCATGGGCTATTTCTTTTGACTTTGTAAAAAAAAAAGACCCAACAGTTTCACTTAATGAGCACAAAATCCAGAGTGATTAATTCTCAACTGAGTGACCATCACCTCAGAAGATTTCTATTGCTTGCCTGCTGCTCTGCTCCGCTCTGCTTCTTTCTTTCTTCTTTAATAATTACCATGAAGATCAATGGCAGACTTTCTTGCAGTAATGAATTGAAAGGAAAGATGTCAACAGGTAGCTTTGGTATTCCAGGTATGGATGCCACGAAACAGCAGAATGCAGATTGCCATGTAGATTGTGAACATTGTGTGATTGTCTGTAGCCACAGCCTTTAAAGTTTAAATTGAAAGGAGATTCTGTACTCCCTTGCATTTCCAAGCAAGAATAAAGTTTTTGGTAAACACAAAAGGCAAAAGCTAGATTTGGCGTACACATATGAATCTATATCTTTTGTTTGCAATGATCAGGTTTGTCCCCAACTCTTTATCGGCAATCCAGTATGAAGAAAGGGGAAAGGAGGTTTAACCCCCTGTCTTTCTTTGCTCACTGTTCCAACTGCATCCTTCTCCCTAATGATTGCTCTTTGCTGTATTTTTTGGGCATTAGCTATCATTAATAGTCACCTTGCAGTTACTTTGGAAAATGTTGGGGGAGAGAGCCTTGTAATCTGTGATGTGTCATCTAAGCAACCCCACAGTACTAAGAATAGCACAGTTAAGGAGAGAAAGGGGGAAAAAAAGCCAGAGAAAGAATTATGTTCTATGACCCGTGTTCAAAGAAATGGTCAATTACCTGCTCAATCGGCTTTTCTGAAAGGAATGGGAAGGGATACCATCCAATTCTTTGTGCCAGGCAAGTATATTGGAATACTATTCTCTTTAATATTTAGAATCTTGGCTCAGTTACAACCTGTAGCTTTGTTCTAAAGCTCTGGCTGTACTCAGATGCTTAGATGGAGCTAATCCATTTACTGATGATCCAATCATTTCAATGAAACTCTGCGTAACTCTTATTGGTTTTTTTTTTAAATGGGACTATCTTTTGGATCATAATTACAGCCGTAGAGGCACCAGCAGCACTGCCCAAAGTATCTATCCTGAAATGCCAGGACGGAGAGTTCTTTGCCTTAGTCTTGGCCTTAACTCTGTCGGGCTGAACCAATGGCATGAATGTCTATGGAGATTCTCAGTCATCCAGGTCATGGTTGTCCCTAAGGTGCTTTTTTTTTTCAAGAGGCAACTGGACTTTCTGGTTTTTCTTTGAAGACGTTTTGCTCCTTATGCAAGAAGCTTCTTCAGCTCTGACTGGATGGTGGGGAATGGAAGGATTTATACTCCTTGCAGACAGCTGGTCATTGGCATTCTTTTAGTGGGTCGTTAAGGTCACTTGGAGGTTTATCTGTGTCCTCAGGGTCACCTGAGTGATGCAAATTAGAACTGTGGAGCCTTCTTGGAACTGTTGAAAGGACTGTGTTGTAGATTGGAGACAGATGATGTCATAATAATATCATCTATCTTTAGTCTACAACACAGTCCTTTCAACAGTTCCAAGAAGGCTCCACACCAATTTGTACCACTCAGATGACCCTGAGGACACAGATAAATCTCCAGGTGACCTTAACGACCTGCTAAAAGAAGGCCAATGACCAGCTGTCTGCAAGGAGTATAAATCCTTCCATTCCTCACATCCAGTCAGAGCTGAAGAAGCTTCTTGGATGAGAAGCTAAACATCTTCAAAGAAAAACCAGAAAGTCCAATTGCCTCTTTAAAAAAAAAACCAGCTTTGGGACAATGGCTTGAATCTCAACTAAGTTTCATCTATGGAAATCAAAAGGTTCCACTGAGGGAGGAGAGAAGGCATTTGATGCTTTAATCATCATCATCATCATTATTGTCATCAGACTCCAAGTGACTGTGGATGGTTTATTTTTTATTTTATTTTGCAGTGGCTCTAGGGCAGTGTTGGCGAACCTTTTTGGCACAGAGTGCCAAAACAGGAGTGCATGGGCGTGAGCAAGGGAGCACCGGAAACTGGAACAGCAGTTCCCAGGCGCACATGTTGAGCTTCTGGTTTCCGGTACGCACATGCGCGCCAGTCACCTGGTCTTCCGGTTTCCGGTGTGCATGTGCGCTTGAAGACTAACTGGTTGGCACACATGTCCGCAGCGGAAACCAGAAGCTTAGCTTCCCAGTGTGTGCATGCGCACCAGGGAGCTGCTCCTCTGGTTCCCAGCACTCACACGCATGCGAAGACTAGCTGGTTGGCACACATATGCATGCTGGAACCTGGAAGAGCAATGGGTG